ATTGTAAGTAGATTAATTAGAATAAATATAATTGAGAAGATGATGGCTGAACAGGTTTAAAGACTCAGAGTTTGCATTGAATGTCTTTGACCAAAGGATCTCCGGTGGTGTAGTGGTTAAGCTTCAAAGGGTTTGAAACTGCCAGATGCATAAGGGGTGAAAGATATAGTATTTGAATCTGTTAAACTTAAACCCAAACCCACTGCTGTCTTATTGATTCCAATGTATAACGACCCTGCATTGTTTTGGTTTCTCTTAAAAAGAGAGGCTTAGAAGCACTATAGGGTAGTTCTACTCTGTCTTGTAGGATATAAGTGATAATTTACTCCAAAGATATGAGGTAGTTAGTTTATTTCTTAAATAGTCACTGCGGAGACGCAGTTGAAAATAAAATGCGGTAGGGGAGGACCTCAGAGAGAGAGATTTGTATAAGGTAAACATTGTAGGAGATGAGAGATAGAAGAGGTATCTAGGACCAGGACTTAGAAGAGAGGGAGAATTGTTTTGATCATCTAGAAGAATATCTAATTACCATACTGATTCCTGAATGTAAGAATATTGGCAAGGAAGCTTTTGCAACAAACCAGGAAAGAAATAATGTGGTTAGCTGAGGCTGATTCTTATGGAATGAAGCAAAGAGAAAGAGAAGTAAAATATGTCTTCTAGCATTCAGGACAAAACAACGGTGACAGGAATTTCTAATTAAAAGTGAAAAGCAACAAATAGATTCAAATTTGTGGGAAATATTAGTTCTAATTTTAACATGTTAATTTTGAGACACATTAGACATCCAAGTGGAGGTCTTCAGTAGAATCTGGTGAGAGTGATTTGACTGGGAAATAATTTAAATAGTCATCAGCAAACTGTATTTAAAGAGACTATTTGAGATCACTGAGGATGTGAATATAGGTAAAGAACGGAAAACAACCACTATACACTAGCAGATGTCTGTGGGGAGGGGAGGAGGGATTTGTACAGATGGAAGAAAACAACAAAGAAACTGTGAAGAATGAGAAATAAGACAAGGAGAAACTAAATGAATAAAGTGTATTAAACAGAGGGAGCCAGATACTTCTAATCTCTTAAATGCTGCTAAGACGTCAAGTTAAGAAGAGATGGGATAACTTGCCTTTAGTAGATTTAGTTATAAAACTGTTTAAGATAGATCAGGACTTAAATACCAAAATATTGAGCAGAGATTAGATAACTTGGTCTGTGCGTTCTCTTTTGAAGCCATTAAGTCCTCCTAGTAATGAATATCCCATGGGCTGACAAACGAACAAACAAATATTTCTTGAACAAAGTACAACCAAGGTAGTCATTGAAGGCAAGGATGGTGAAATTTCATCTCAGATACTTTAGATATGTTGTTAGAAGTCTTTGGAGAAAGGCATCATGTTGAGAGAAATGGAAAGTCAGTGAGAGAAAGGAAGGCCTTCAACATCGTGACTGTAGTATGTCAGAGATTATGAGAATGGCACAGGAGAGGTCAAGTTTCAAATCCACTGTCCATAGGGTTACTACAGGTGTAGTTGACTCAAGGGCATCTGACAACAACATTATTAAAGTTTGTCCTAGCTACTGTGGTCAAATAAAGATTGGAATCTAACTTCCACTAGGATCTCATGTTCTGATGGATCAAGAGCCCCAATTAATTTCTTGATCGCACTTGCTTTACCTATCTCATTCTGTTCCCTAGACTTGAGGTATAGCATGAGCCTGTGGGTAAATATAAGCCTAGAATTAATACTAGAATTCTTAAACCTAGTTCATTTTGTTTCAAATTAAGAGACATGGAGTTTCTAAAATGACCTTGGGGTATAGAGAAGCTTGTGACCACAATATCAACAACTAAAATATGCTAAGCTTTAAAAATATTAAAGTTTTTACAGTAATGGCTTTATACAGTATTTGTCCTTATAAGACTGAGTTAGTTCACTCTGAAAAATGCTTCCTGGTCTTTCCCAAGTTATGTAGGTTTTTGTTTTTTTTTTTAAAAAAAAATTGTTGCTCCTGAGTGTGGCATTGGCTGGCTGTACCACAATTTCACAAACCATTCAATTGTGTTTGGATATTTGGGCTCTTTCCATGTTCTTGCAATGGTGAATAACGCTGCTGTGAACATTTGTGCACAGATATCCATTTGTGTCTCAGTTCTAATACTAAAAGAATAACTAGGAAAACATGAATGGGGACCCAAGGGGGGAAGGAGTGGGAACAGAGGGGTGAGGATAGGTAGGGGAGAAACTACAGGATTGCATAGTTTTAGTGAGTGGATGGAAGGAGTGAAGGAAATGGGAAGGATTCAGCAGTGACTTCGCAAAGACAGAGTAAAGAGGGACAAAGATCCAGTGGTGATTAATTTTATAAAACATAGTGGATGGGAATTATTGTATGAAACACAATGTGAATGAAAACTAGTGTGAAACACAATGTATACAAACTTTGTAAACAAATGAATATAATAGAAAATAAATTTAAAAAATTAACAAATACATCTCAGCCTCATTTGTCTTTCAAAAGTGAACTTTAAAAATTTTGGACTTTTGTCTCTCGGCAACTTTTGATGCATTCTTTTGTATATTGATGAAGAGAAAATAATAACATTTCATGCTGTGTATTCAGAACTGTTGCACAGCATGGACAGTAATTAACAATAATTATAGAGTTATAGTTTTCAGATGTTGCATAAATAGTTAACAAAATAAAAAAGAAAAACATTCAAAAGGAAATTCTGCCTTCTAAGTCTTTCAAATTATTTTCAAAAGTACGCAAGGAAGAGAAAATACTGACACAAAATGGCTTACAATTTTAGGAAATTATGGAAAATCATGAGAATGAGATAAAATCTTGTCCTAAGGAATTACTAAGTAAACAGAAGTCAACATAAAATAAGGGAGCTTTGATGGCATAGTCCCTGGAGAGTTGCGCTACTAACATGAAGTCCACTCCCCTCTGGTGGGTGGGATCTACCAGTGAGAGAATGACAGACAGTAACCCTGTATGATTTACAGCCTCACAGTGGATTGTCAACTATGTTTATTCAACTCCACAACAGCAAGAGAGGGAGATAGAGGAAAGACATTAATATTAGTATAAAATTCCTTTTAATATAAGACTTTATGGAGTAGAGTATGAAAAGCAGATTAATAATTTCAGGAGAATATTTTAAGTGTCTTGGTGGGTCTCAAGACTTTTGGAAGGCCGAGTGCTAGAAACAATGTAGAGACTCATGAGTCCTCAGTGAGACAATAAGGAAAAATACATTGGTAAACATCCTACCAACAAACTTAGGGCTACTGATGAGTTTCTCTGACCATAGATGGAGTTGTTTCCAATTTGTACACATCCTCTGTTGGATTTCTGTGTCTATAAATCAAACAGGAAGAGACTACCTATCTTTCTCCCTCTGAGTTGTTGATTTATTCCAATGATCAAAACCTGTGGCCTTTGGGTTGGCTGTGAAATACCCTACCAACTATGCCACAAGAGCTCCCTTCTGGTCATGTGTTGTTCTTGTTATAATCTGTCAAGCCTGAACTGACACATAGCTAACCCTCCGATGGGTTTTCAGAAGCAGTACATTGCATGAAGGGAGACTGCTCATTCTTCTTCCAAGGAACTTAGAGAAAGAGTTTCATCCTTCTCCTACATTCTTCTTTGGTCATGTAACCTGTGTGTCTTTGCTTTTAATGCTTCTAGAGCTCTAAACAGTCTCTTTCTTTATAGTTAGTTAGATAGATGATAGATAGATAGATAGATAGATAGATAGATAGATAGATAGATAGATAGATAGATAGACCTATACAATATATATTTGGTTATACACACATACACACACACACACACACACCCTGGCACAGAGCCGTTTTCTGATTCACTGCACCTTAGTTTTTCAAGGCTATGAATCTTTATGATACTGTAAATATTCTTGGAAGAGACTGCCTCAGCTTTTTTCCACGGAACACCTGAGAGAGTCAGTGTGTCAGCCTTTTAGCCCAGGGCTCAACATGTAAATCACTGTGGCACCTGGCTCTGTCTGCACGTATTTGTTTCACATTTTGTTCACACATTACTTGTTAACACATTCTGTGTGTATGTTATACTATAGACAATCAGAGACTTCTACAAATTATTGAAGAGTAATGATGCCTGTTTGAGGACTATGGTGCACCTGATTCAGACAATGGTCTTTTCAGTCATTGCTATGCTTCTGAGAGAGCCGGACAATCAATAAGGATGACAGAAGAAGAATTAACTCCTTTGAACTATGGTGCTGGAAAAGGGTTCTGAATATTCCATGGTTTGCTAAAGTAACACAGTAATATGTCTTGGAGAAGGTACATACAGAGTGCTACTTGGAGGCAAAGATGATGAAGCTTTGCCTCACATATTTTGGGCATGTTGCTAGGAGCAGCTATTCCTTAGAAAAGAATATCATACTTGGAAAGGTGGAAGAATGGTGAAGGAGAGGAATATCCTGAATCAGGTGAATTATATCAGTTACTGCAACAATGGGCTTGAATATGTCAGGGATTATGAAGAAGACACAGGAAAGGACAAGGTTCAGATCGGTTGTTCATAGGTTCACTCTGAGTCATACTCGGTGGCACCTGACAACAACAAGTTATTGGATATGAATTTGTACATATTGTCTCATAATGCATATTATGTGTGATAAAATTATAAAGAACAATAGAGAAACAACTAAATAGTTGGATTTAGGCTGCAACAAGGAGGTTGCAATTTTGGTGAAATTCGCAGGCCTGCGAGGTGTTGGTTAGTGGTCTGTGTCTTAAACTTGAGCTGTGGTTTTATGTTGTTGTTGTTATTTTTTATATAATCTAGAGCTTATTTTTTTTTTCAAAGGAAGCCACATGTAGAAAATGTTATACTCTGAAAAGTCGCGGTTTGCTTCTCTCTAAATGAGACAAAGATTCTGCTGTACTATCTCAGCAAACATTTTAACAAACAAAATGCCAATCTTTTTTCTTTTCCAGTTCGAAAGGATATAGTCCGCATCCTCCCCAGTTTGGATGTTGAAGTCAAAGACATCACTGATTGTTACGATGCAAACTGGTTTCTTCAGCTGTTATCTTCAGAAGATCTTTTTGAAATGACCAGTGAAGAGTTCCCCATAGTGGCAGAAGTCATAGAAGGACCTGAAGGAATGCAACTACCCAGAAACCTCTTACAGCCTGGGAAAACCATTGTGATCCACAAAAGGTACCAGGCTCTGAGGATCCTAGCTTCGGAAATCAGAAGCAATTTTCCTAAAAGGCATTTCTTGATCCCCTCCAACTATAAAGGCAAATTCAAGCGGCGACCTCGGGAGTTCCCGACTGTCTATGACCTAGACATAGCAAAAAGTGAAAAAGAGCCGCTCCACGTGGTAGCCACCAAAGCCTTTCATCCCCCTTATGACGAGCTGTTATCCGTGTCAGTTGGGGACCAGTTTCTAGTGCATCACTCACAGACTACTGAAGTCCTCTGTGAGGGGAAGAAAAAAGTGGTGAATGTTCTGGCCTGTGAAAAAATCCTCAAAAAGTCCAATGAAGCAGCGCTGCTGCCTTTGTACATGGAAGGAGGTTTTGTTGAGGTGGTTCATGATAAGAGGCAGTACCAGATCTCTGAGCTCTGTTCACAGTTCCACTTGCCCTTCAATGTGAAGGTATCTGTGAGAGATCTATCGATTGAGGAAGACATTCTGGCAGCTACACCAGGACTGTGCTTGGAAGAAGATATCACAGACTCTTACCTACTCATAAGTGACTTTGCCAACCCCAGGGAGTGCTGGGAGATTCCCATCAGCCGCTTGAATATGACTGTTCAACTAGTTCGTAATTTGTTTGGGACAACAGAATCTCTTCTAGTCAGGACTCTGATTGAAGAGATAACTGAAGAACAGTATTACATGATGCGGAGATATGAAAGCTCTTTTTTGCACCCGCCACCCCGCCCTCCCAAGCATCCCTCAGTGGCAGAAACAAAGTCAAGCCTGCAAACCCAAGCAAAACGAAAGACAGCAGATCTGCCCAAGTCTCCCAAGGTAAGCTGAAGGTTTTGTGGTTTCGTTTTATTTTGTTCTTTCCCACCTTCTAATGTTTTTCTTGAAGCACTTTCTTTGAAGTCTTTTTTTTTTTTTTGCTTACATTTGTTTCTTTCACACAGCATTAGAAATGATCCTTTCTGATGCACAGTAGATGAATGAACATCAGCAGAGCATAAGCTTTTGCAAGCATTTTGTTTTTTGATGCTTAACCAGCAGATGTGGCATGAAGTTTGAATTGAATTGGAAGTAGGAGTAATGACATTTGGATATGATGACCCAAATTGCCATCTCAGTGTTTTGTGGTAATTAAGTATGCTGGATGTGTTGCCTTTAGAAGTACATCGACGTTATTTTGAAAAGACTGCTCAGGTTTTTTCTAGGTGGAATTGTTTTAATACTTCATCTAGGAAATGAGCATACGATAAGCCCTCTTCTTCTGGGAGGTTACAAGTAGAATACATCTTTAACACATGTCTTCATTTTGTTTTATGTGCAGAAAGATGTAAAAATATCTTGGCAGAATTGTGTGTGAGAATGTGAGCATCTGTGCGCATTCTGCCTATCTCAGAATTCTTATCTTCAACCGTGCCATAGAAAAACAAAATCAATAACATTGCGGAGAGTAAGTATGTATCATTACAGTAACAACAACTCCATTCTCACACTAGAAACTTGGGGAAGTTCAGCCTTGGGGTCTTGAAAATTGCCTGCTAGCAGCCTGGAAAGCTCTTGTCCTTACACTCTGATGTGCAGGTCATTTATTCTTTGTTGGTTCTATGATGTGTAGAAAGTACATTCCTGTCTGGCAGATGTTGTGCTAGCAGCTGGGGGAAACAAAGCAATTAGTAAAACAAAGAGAGAGGCTGTGTTTACTCTCTGTACTCAGGGACGATAGCAGCCTCGGGCTTCAAGTATGTGGATATGGAAATACTTTTCATTCTCCTTTTCAAGGATTGTCTTCTGATTGTATGCTGGGAACAATTCAGTCAGAATCACCAAACCCAACTTCAGAAAAAGACAATAGCACTAGAATTTTCTTAGTTGGGAGAAACATTTTGAGAAATCGTTTCTAATTAAGTAACTGTTTCCAAATAACGTTGGCAAAGAGGCTGCTATGTATGTGGAGGGTGTCTTTGGCTTCTCCTGTTCAACATATTTTTATCACTAAGTTGGATGATAAAAGAGATAGAATTGTCATTTTTTTAGTGAGAATTGCCATATGTAGTAGTCATGCGACTCCCCCAAACATTCTCATGCCAAATCCTTGAAGTCCACGAATATGTCACCTTATTTTGTAAAAGAATCTGTGTTGATGCAACTAACATTAAACATCTTGAGATGGGAAATTGTCCTTGATTAGGAAACTTGAAAAGAAACCAAACCAATACTGATGAGTAGCTTCCAACTCATGGAAATCTCACTTATATCATAGTAGAACAGGGATCTTATCTGCACTCTCCCAGGAGGAACCACCAGCCTGGAAGGTTAGTAGGTGACCATAAATTTTAGTGTCATTCAAGGACTTCTGGATTATGGAGACAGGTCCAATTTAATGACATCACTCCTTACTGGGAGCTTTTCATACTTGAAGTCAGAGTCAGAGGGGACTACAACTATGAGAGAATGACCAGAGAGCTGTAACATTACTGGGGTTGAAGATGGAAGAAGGAAGCCATGAGCTGAGTAATGAAGATGAACCAAAGAACTTGGAAAAGACAGGGAAATAGAGTCTTTCCTTGTTCTTCTAGGAAAGACTGCAAGTCTTACCTTCATTGTTCCCAGAAAGTTCCAAGTCAAAATTCAGATCCACAGAAATGTGAAATAATGAATTTATATTAAGTACTAAAGAAGCACTCCTAGCTTAGTGGTAAGGAACTGCACTGCTAGCACAACAGTACATGGCTTGAATCTACCAGCTGTTCCCCAGAAGAAAAGATGGACATTCTCCTCCCTAGTAATTTACTGGCTCTGAACATCTGTGGAGGGACAGCTTGGGTCGGATTTGACTTGAGGATTCAAAACAACAACATATTAATTGATCAGTTTGTAATAATCTGATACAACAAAAGATAACTAAAATGTATAGTTAGAAAGAGTGAGAACTTAGATAGCCAAATCAGTATGTGTTAGAACTTGTTTGATTGCAAACACAAAATATTGTGTTTTCAATGGATTTACTAACTAATGTATTCATGGTGAACTTAAAGGCATAGTCGACTTTCATGGCCTCCTGGAGCTGCAATCCCAAAGACAGTTTGTAGTTTTTTTTGAAAAATCATTACTATAGAACCACTTTTGCTTCACAGTGGCTCTCCTCTGGGTTTCTGATCCTGTTAATTGAAACAAGAGGAGACTCCCCTTCTTCCTCCTGAGCCACCACTGTAGATTTGAATCAGGAGAGACATGCAAAGTATCTTTTTTTAAAAATTTTATTATTATTTTTGTGTGAGTGTACCGTCAAATTAGATCTGACTGGTACAGGAGGAGATTGTCCCTCCTTCCCCGGCAGAGCATCTGGTGGATTCGAACCGTGCAACTCTGGGATTGTAGTTGCAGCTCCTTGCCACTAGGCCACCAGAGCTCCCCGCAAAGTATCTTAATTAGAGCACATGCCCATTTCCTGACTCAATCCTTGGAAGCTCCAGCTAGAAACATAATTTATATAGAGGCAAGTTTGGTTGTTTGCCTCAATAATAGAGAGATTCGGATTGGCAGCATGTGAAAGTATGAGAAGACAAATGAATAGACATCACAATTAGGGAAAAGGAATGTAAAAAAAATATTATAAACCACTATGACCTCAATAATAAGAACAGATTAAAATTTTTAAAATACCTTTTTACAGATTATATGATAATAATATTAATACTAAAAGAGACACTCGTAAAACAACCATGTTCTGTGCTTTGAATATAAAGCCAATATAACTTTGACTAAATCTGTAGATCTGTGATTCCAAATTAAGTTAATAATTTCTAATTGCTTGTTACCTGGTAAAATCTCACCTGGATTATTATGTTCTGTTTTGAGTTTCATCTCTAAAGGAAAATATTGATTCGCTAAGTGCTGTTCAGTTGTTGTTAAAGGGATGTTTGTTAGAAGTCCTGATCCATTTTAATTTGAGGAATGGTTAAGGAAACTAATAGTCTTAGTTTGAAAGACTTCATAGTAGTTATTTTATATATTTACATTCTATTTAAAGAGCTACTATATGAAAAGGAAGGGCATTCTGGAGGCTTAATAGGTAAGGAGTTGTGCTGCCAATCCAAAGGCAGGCTGCTTGAATCCACCAGCTGCTCCACAGAAGAAAGAAAGATGGACAATCTCCTCTTAAGCCATGTATAGCCTCTGGGAAATTGCTGGAGGCTTTTTTGGAGTTCCAACTCTACGGCAATGAGTTTTTTGAGTTTATGTAGAAAGGAACATAAACAGAAATACACATCTGAAAGAACTAGGTCAGTAGGTGGAAGTCAAAAGGAGAACAACTCTAATGTAACATGTCAGGACAGATTTCTTGTTCCAAAAAAATTTCAGTGATGTGCTTAGTGGATGCCTGCTCTGGTAGAGAAATTATCAAACCAGAAAGAGCCATGTTTCTGCCCACACCCTCTTACTATTGTTGCTATTGTGTGCTGTCGAAGTGGAACCAATTCATAGCTGGCCCTCTAGTGGGTTTTCAGAGGCAGTAAATCAGTTAGGATAAGATTGTCCATCCTTCCCCTGTAGAACAGCTGGTGGGTTCGAACCATATGCCTTTGGGATCATAGTGCAACTTCTTACTGTTAGGCCACAAGAGCTTCTCTATCAATTCTGATACTGTGCAGAAAGCATTACATTTTATTGAAAACTACTTTGAAATGTCAAAAGGCTGAACACTTCACCTGTTTTATGTCTACTGACAATTTTCAACAAGTGTTTGGGGTGTTTTGGTTTTTTTCTCCACCAAAAAGATGGGAGTTTGTTTAGTGAATAATTCTGAGGACTATAAACTGAAGCTCTCTCAGTTTCTACATAATCTGCTAAAATTTTATTAAGTAGCTTTGCAATCAGCTATTTTTTCTCATCGCAATTTCATTCTTTCACCTATTTCTTTTATGTTGCTACTGATAATGATATCAAAACTCTTCTGTAATGCGTGCTTTTGAAATGAATGGCAAGAATATATTGTTTTTTATATGCAGAAAACAACAATTGAAAGCAAGCCTCTAAGAGTTTGTATATGCAATATTGTTTTAAATTTAGGGAAATTGTTTTTACAAGATACTCAGAGATTAAATACTTAAACTCATTTAGTTTATGAAAATGCCTTACTACATACATGCTTAGAGAAGAGTATCACATGCTTCATTATGTGAGTTTACTTTTGCCCTTGCAATGGATCATTACATTTACTAGATCATTTCTTGCATTGTTAAGTTATAGGACAGATATATGGGCAGTCTGAGAGTTAAAATCTACAGTGTACTTAATATTAGATACTTCCAGCTACAGCAGAACTCCATTGTCAGCAAATCAGACAAACTAATACTAGAAGTGTGGGAATTAAGAATATATGTGGACAGGCTATATATGAAAATTTAGGATATGTAAAATTATTTTCCAATTAAAGATTGATAAGCACTGTTTCACTATGGCACAATCAAAATAAATATCCAAAGTGAAGGATGACTGATCAACAAGATGGACTTCCAAAAGAACAAGTATTTGTCCGAAGAAGTACTGCCAGGGTGTGCCTTAGAACTAAGGTTGACAAGGCTTCATTTCACAGGAGGGGACAGTCTCTGGAGAAGGACATCATGCTTAGAAAAGCAGAACACTGGAGGGAAAGAAGACCCTAACTGAGATAGGTGACACTGTGATTGCAACAGTGGGTTTAAGTAAGCATGGCAGAGCTTGTGAGCATGGTGAAAGACTGGGCAATATTTTGTTCTGTTGTACACAGGCCAGCTATGCATCTGAACTGTCATAATGACACTTAGCGACAACAACCAATAAAA